CCCACCAGCCACTCCTCAGAAGGAAGATTGGGCAATCTACTTCCATAGTGATACTGCCTCGGAAACCCAAGGAGGGGTTGCTATGAATCAGGCCTGACTCGACGGCACATAACAACAACAACGGCAGTTTACAAGGCGCTCTGGTGGCATAGTGCCTGGCGTTATTACCCTAACACCACCACCACTTCACTTCTGTGAGCAGCTCTGCATCCCAAAGAGCTAAGTTAAGATGTAAGAAGATGCTAGGCCCTAGAATTAACTTTTGAATGACAAAGAGTGTCCAAACCAGAAAAAACACTGCAATTTAATTTTCAGTTGTCCATTTCTAAATATTTGTTCCCAATTTAAAGTCTTACACATTCTTACACATATATATGTAGATTTACTTGTTTATATGTAGATATGCTCACCTGAACTAATTTAAACATTTCATCTTGGAGCATCTGCCTAACAGATTCCGAAGAATCTGGTAATTGAGGCCTGGGTTCATTTCTCAGGGTCTTGCAAGGTGATGAAACAGGTGTTTGTGAAGCAACACTGATTCCATTTGATACAAAAGGTGAAACTGAGGAAGATTTATCTTTAAAGGCAGAGACCTGTGCACTAGGTAGAAGTACATAAATAAAAACATACATTAATCAGCAAAAAATAAATTAAATGTTTATGATGTTTGTTTTGAACTCTTTTCCTTCTTCTAATTTAAAGGTTATTATGGGAGTTTACAAGGAGCTCTGGTAGCATAGTGCCTAAGGCATTTGACTGCTAACCAGCAGGTTGGTGGTTCAAACCCACTAGCCACTCCATGGAAGGAAGATTGGGCAATCTCTTTCTATAAAGATTTACTGCCTTGGAAACCCAAAGGGGATTGCTATGAGTCAGAATCGACTTGATGGCAGCTGAGTTTGGCTTATGGGAGTTTACAGGAAACATAAACCCTATAGCTGATCACTCTACTGAATAGGCTTCATTAGCCACCAAACACATTTGTCAGTCAGCACAATTCTTCACCTGAATGTCTTTAAAAGGGGCATGCATTCTCACGTTAACCAGTCACCTCCCTACTGTGACTCTCAGAACACTTCACACATTTATTTTACCTGCCTGATCCCTGTAGACATTTGAATTAGTGACCTTTGTAATCATTTTAGAGATCTCTGGTGGTGTAGTTTCTAAGGCATTTGACTGCTAACCAGAAGGCTGGTGGTTCAAATCCACCAGCTACTCCTTGGAAGGAAGACTGGGCAATCTACTTCTATAGAGATACCGACTCGGAAACCCAAGGAGGGGTCGCTATGAGTCAGAATCTACTTGATTAGTGGGACAAATTATGTAATTTAATGTGGAAATAAGTTCTTTTGACTAAAATTAATGATCCAAATAGAGTTAGGGAAAATGGGGAGCAAATGGATAAAAAAAGTGTTTAATTCTAGGAGTGGTATAGTATACTACTACTGATCATCATGCAAACAACACTATGTCTAAACAAACCACCGAGTTTACAATTATAACAAATGATAACAAAAATAATAAATTCTTATTTAAAAAAACAAAGATCAGAGCAAATTTTTTGGTTTTGCTCTTTTAAAAACAATAGTAAGGATGACTCCCTGAACCTAACAGGTACCTTGTTTTCTAAGAAAATTAATTTCATAACTAAGTAATGGGGCAGGCAATTACCACAGTTAAACAACTTTATCACTGTTTCCAAATATAAATAATGTATCAAATTGCATTTAGATTTATTTGGGTTTATACTCATTCTCTTTCAGGAATACTTGCCTTTTATGGAGCATCTCATGCGCTCAATAATGAAACTTAAGCATAACCATAAAAATAAAAAAAACAGGCATTACAAATGATCTGCCCATTTACAAACTTATTCAGTAAGTAGTAAGGAGATTAATACTAATCATGTAGAATTTTTCTGAAATTGTATTATATTATCCTCATATTTTACCAAGACTTCTAAATACTAGAGACTCAGGCTGCCTTACTTCTGATCAACCTCTGAAAAAGAAAGTCAAAGCACACAACTAGATGAATATATCCTATGTGAGAATTAAAAGCATTGCAAACACTATCAGAAATCTGGTAGAGGCTGAAAATGAGCAACAATGACACCTTTCAGTAACACATCTATAACTTCCTTGTTTTTTACAGAAAAGATTACTCATAAATGGCTCTTGTATGTCTTTAAAATAGAACTATTAAAGGAAAATTTTCAATAATTAACTTAAAGTCTCAGAAATGTCTACCTATGTTGTTTTTTAAAGGCTTCGTGTTACTTTCATTTTATTCTCATAGTTTTAAGTAAAAACACTTAGTAATTATTTCTAAGTGGTATATTAGTCATCGTTTCATTCTTATTTACTTGTAAAAAATTATTTCAAAATGGCAGAGTAGGTAAAACATTCTTACCTAGAAAGCTCTGAACTTGTATCTACACACAATGAATGAGGAATGGTAAGTTCCAAATTTGAAAAGTCTTCAATCATACTATAAATAAAGAATAATAAGCTATTAGGGAACAAGACATTCTTCAAATCATCTAAGGGGCAAGTGAGCTAATTCTCAGACAGTTAAGAGTTGAAACATCTTCTAATCCTTTGTAATGCTTAGCTCATAATTATAATCTGTTTACATTTGTCTCCATAGCAATTAGTAATAGATTCAAACAAAAACTTGTTTGACTTAACATAAGGATGCTGATTTAACATACTATATGGGAGCTCTGGTAGCATAGTGGATAAGACACTTGCCTGCTAACCAGACAGCTGGCGGTTCAAACCCACCAGCCACTCCTCGGAAGGAAGGTTGGGCAATCCTACTTCTGTAGTGATACTGCCTCAGAAACCCAAGGAGGGGTCGCTATGAGTCGGGTTTGACTCGACGGCACATAACAACAACAACAACATGAACACGATTGGCTGCTCAGCAACAGAAACAAAAGATCTAAAATGAGGGGATATGAAGTTAGCTGCAATCTCAAATTACAGTTATGGAACAGGCAGACACTTTGTTCAGGAACTAAAGAGCCTCTGCCACATTTGAAACTACAAAATAAATAAATAAATATATTTATATACATATATATAATATAAATATATTTTATAATGCCCTGTAAAAGCAAAGGATATTAAATATATCCTTTTGATTATCCATAGAAGAACTAAATAAAATTTGTGTACTAAGAAAGAAAATCCAATTATGTTACCTCTCTTACCCCTGGCAATCCGAAAATTCTAAAAATTAAGAAATCATACCCAAACTACAAAAAATGAAAGCTACCTTCCACTCTCCTTAAAGCAACAGAGACATGCTGGCTGAGTACATTCACATCTTAGCCCTAACTGCGAGTGTGCAGTAATCAAACCAAAAGACTATAAGTAAAAGGCTACATATATTATCACTTAAAATTGTTTATTTAACTCAGTAAAAATGGAAAGGTGGTTCTCTAGCAGCTGAATGAACTATGTTCTATTTACATCTGTGTTTTATTTTGATAAGGCTGATAGTGATGGGAGAACAAAAGCCATTTAAGACATCACTAAGTCATTGTTTAGGGAGCTCTGGTAGCATAGTGCCTAAGGCACTTGACTGCTCACCAGAAGGCTGGCGGTTCAAACCCACCAGCCACTCCTCGGAAGGAAGGTT